TCTAGCACTATTTGTTGAAAACACTATTCTTTTTCCCATTGAATTATGTTGGTACTATTGTTGAAAATCAAATGACCGTAAATGTAAAGGTTTATATATGGACTCTTAGTTCTATTTCATTGATCTACATGTCAACCCTTATGCTTATACTATATGGTCTTGATTATCGTAATATTGTAGCAAGTTTTTAAGTTGGGACATGTGACTCCTCCAACTTTATAGTTCTTCAAGATCATTTTGGTTATTCTGGTTTCCTTGAATTTCCATATGAATGTTAAGATCAGCTTGTCAATTTCTGCAAAGAGCCAGCTGGGATTTGGATAGGGATTGTGTTGAATCTGTAGATCAGTGTGGGAAGTATTGACATCTTGACAATTAACTTTTCCAATCCATTTGATGTATTTCTATTTATTCAGATTTATTTTAATTTCTTTCAGCAATGTTTTTAGAATACAAGTTTTATACTTCTTTTGTTTAATTTATTCCTGAGTATTTTATTCTTTTGATGCTGTTATAAGTAGCATTTTCTTAATTTCATTTTTGAATTGTTCACTGCCAATGTATAGAAATAGAATTGCTTTTTGTTTATTGATCTTGTTTCCTGTAACGTTAGTGAAATTATTGATTTATTCTCATAGTTTTTAGTAGGTTCCTTAGGATTTGCTGTGTAAAACCTCATGTCACCTGCAAATAGAGATAGTTTTTCTTTTTCATTTCTAGTCTGGATGTTTTTTATTTCTTTTTCTTGTCTAATTGCCCTAACTAGAACCTCCAGTACAATGTTAAATAGAAGTGATGAGAACAGATGCCTTATTCCTGATCTTAGATGGAAAGCATTCATTCAGCCTTTCACTATTAAGTATGATGTCAGCTATGGATCTTTGTAGATGACCCATAGCTTCTTCTTCAAATAGAAGGGAAGAAGCTCCCTTCTATTCCTAGTTTGCTGAAAGTTTTTATCATGAAAGACTAGCATTGGGTTTTGTCAACTGTTTTTTCCGTATCTATTGAGATTATTGTGCATTTTTGTTCTTTATTCTATTGAAATCATGCATTACATTAAGTAATTTTTGGATGTTAAACCAACCTTGCATTCTTGGGATAAATCCTACTAGGTATGATGTACTATCATTTTTTATATATTGCTGGATTCAGTGTGCTAGTATTTTGGTAAGGATTTTTGTATCTACATTTATAAGAGATTTTCATCTGTAGTTTTCTTTTCTTGTGATTGCCTTTTCTGGTTTTGGTATCAGGGTAACACTGATCTCACAGAATGAGTTGGGAAGTGTTTCTTCCTATTCTATATTTAGGAAGTGTTTGTGAAGGATTGGTACTAATTATTTAAATGTTTGGTAAAATTTACCAGTGAATTCATCTGGTCTAGGGCTTTTCTTTGTGGGAAGCTTTTTAAATTGCTAATTCAATCTTTTTATTTGTTATACACCTATTCAGATTTTCTATTTCTTCTTGAGTCAGTTTTGGTAGTTTGTGTCTTTCTAGGAATTTCTTCATTATGTCTAAGTTACCTAATTTTTTGGCATACAGTTGTTTAGAATATTTTTTATAATCCTTTTTTTTTTTTACTTCTGTAAGGTCAGTAGTGATGTTTTCTCTTTCATTCCTGAGATTTTTTAGTTTTTTCTTTTTTATTCTTGATCAGTCTAGATAAGGTTCTCCAATTTTGTTGATCTTTTCAAAGGATGAACTTTCAGTTTTGTTGATTTTCTCTATAGTTTTTCCATTCTTTATTTCATTCATTTCTGCTCTAATCCTTGTTATTTTCTTCCTTCTGCTTGCTTTAGGTTTTGTTTGCTCTTCTTTTTCTAGTAGCTTAAGGTGGAATGTTAGTTTATCAATTGAGATATTTCTTCTCTTTTAATATAAATGTTTAGAGTTATAAACTTCCCTCTAAGCACTACTTTAGCTGCATCCCATAACTTTTCATATTCATCTCCAAGTATTTTTTTTATTTCCCTTGTGATTTCTTTTTTGATCTATTAGTTGTTTAGGAGTATGTTGTTAATTTCCACATATTGTTGTAAATTTCCCAAATTTATTTGCTATTGATTTCTAACTTCATCTTATTGATGAGTCATCTATTTCTCCTTTCAGTTCTGTCAGTTTTTGCTTCACGTATTTTGGGGCTCTGTTTTTAGGTGCATATATCTTCTTCTTCTTCTTCTTCTTTTTTTTTTTTTTTTTTGCTGAGGAAGATTCACCCTGAGCTAACATCCATGTCACTCTTCCTCTATTTTGTATGTGGGTCACTGCCACAGCATGGCCACTGATGAGTGGCATAGGTCCAAGCTCAGGAACTGAACCTGGGCCACCAAAGTGGAGCACACAAAACTCAACCACTAGGCTGTGGGGCTGGCCCTATAAAATGTCTTTCTTTGTCCCTAACAACAATTTTTGTCTTAGAGTTTATTTTTTCTATTATTAGTACATCTACTTCAGCTCTCACGGTTGCTGTTTGCATATCTTTTTCTATCCTTTTACTTTCAACCTATTTATGACTTTGAATCTAAAGTGTGTCTCCTATAGAGAACATATAGTTGTATCATGTTTTTTTTAACTCAGTCTGACAGTATCTACATTTTGAATGGATTGTTTAGTAGATTCATATTTAATGTTACTATTGATATGGTATGTTATTATTGATATCTATATGTCTCATGTCTTTTTTTGTTTTTTTGTTCCTCTATTCCTCCTTTATTGCTTTCTTTCACATTAAGTGAATATTTTCCAGTGTAATATTTGAATTCTTTTAATGATTTTTTCACTATTTTTTTTTGAGATCATAATAGTTTATAACATTGTGAAATTTCAGTTGTACATTATTATTTGTCAGTTATCATATATATGTGTCCCTTTACCCCTTATGCCCATCCCCAACCCTCTTCACCTCTGGTAACCACTATTCTGTTCTCTTTGTCCATGTACTTGATTATCTTCCACATATGAGTTTTCACTATTTTTTTTCACTCTGTTATTTTCTTAGTGGTTGCTCTAGGACTTAAACAATATATATCTTAACTAATCAGAATCTACTTCATATTATACTATTTTAAGTCCAGTAAGTTATAGAAATACCTATATAGCTCTATTCTCTCTTCCCCTTTTTAATTCTATTATAGTTATGCATATTACATCTCTATATATTACAAATCCAACTTTGTTATAATTACTTATACAATTTTAGGTCCTTTAAAGCTGAGAGAAGGAGAGGAAGTATACAATTATAGAGTTGTTATATTAGCCTTCTTGTTTACCATTTCTGGTTCTTGGTATTAGTAGATTTTTCCGATGTCTTAGTCTGTTCAGGTTGCTAACAAAGTACCATAGACTAGGTAGCCTATAAGCAACAGAAATTTGTTTCTCATAGTTCTGGAGGCTGGAAATTTCAAGAACAAGGTGCCAGGAGATTTGATGTCTGGTGTGAACCCACTTCTTGCTCCATAGACAGCTGTCTTCTTGTGTCCTCACATGGCAGAAGGGGCAAGTGAGCTCTCCGGGTTCAACTTTATCAGGGCACTAATCTTCATTATGAGGGCTCCACCCTCATGACTCAACCACCTCCCAAAGGCCCCACTTCCAAATACCATCACAGTGCAGATAAGGTTTAAACACATGAATTTTTGGGGAACACAAATATTCAATCTATAGCACTTGAATAAATGTTTCTCCATTTGCTCTATCCCCTTAGGACAATTTCCAGAGAATTTAAATACTTTTTCTTTTTTTAAATAATTTTCACCAGCTATGGTTGTTTCACTGGGAAGAGGGTCCACAGAGCTCCTTATACTCATCATTCTTTAAGTACCTTCCAGGTTATTCATATTTTAAACATTGATACCTAGTGGTAAATTGCTCTCTAGAAAAGCTATACCACTTTACATTTCAAAGAGCAAGTCATGAGGATGCTTATTCCCCATGCTCTTCCCAACACTGGGTGTTATCAAGACTTTTAATCTTTGCCAATATGATAAGCAAAAATAACTATCTCATTTTTATGTTCAAAATTTAGGCAGTCTGAGTTGAGAGATAATTCCTAGAAGAGGCATACCTGCATCTTTTTACTGCTAAATTAGTTACAGTTACCCCACTATGACTGTGAGGAAAATGACATGTGAAGGAGGTGGAAGCTTCCAAAAATGAAGCAAGGGGCTGCCTTCATGTTTTCTGGAGGGGGCCAAAACAAAATGCCTAGGAAAACCATGGCACCAATAATTCTCCTTTTGTAAGAGACTCATTTTTCTCTTTAAAAAATTAGTTATATTTTGCCCTACCTTATATTTAAAACTTATTTCTAAGTATTAATTATTATATGGTCTCATAGCATTAAAAGATTTCTAGGGATCATTTTATCTATTAAATAACATACTCGAAATTAAGATTTTGGTTCTATCTTTTTGTTGGTCTGCTCTAAATAACTGTCTTAGCTGGTATAAATATTAGGAATCAAAATCCAAAATACTAAGAAAAATAGTTGAGACTGCTAATGTGGATCACTGAGCAAATGAAGATTATTAGGTGATAAATAATTTAATGAAAAAATCTCTTCAATAGCATAAATTCAGACTTTTGAAGAAATATAGGCGCTGTATTTACATTGAAAGCTAAGAAAATCTAAAGTTGCTTTCAGGGCCGGCCCCATGGCTTAGCGGTTAAGTGCCCGTGCTCCGCTGCTGGCGGCCCAGGTTCGGATCCTGGACGCGCACCAATGCACTGCTTCTCCGGCTATGCTGAGGTCGCGTCCCACATAAAGCAACTAGAAGGATGTGCATCTATGACATACAACTATCTACTGGGGCTTTGGGGGAAAAAAATAAATAAAATTAAAAAAATAATAATAAAGTTGCTTTCAGCACTGAAAAACTCTGGTAAATTTTCATAACTCATTGTCTATTAAAAAAAATTAAGCGTAGGTAAATTGGTCTACTGGATAGCATTTCTTACTAAGATATGTTTCTTTCCCCTTTGCCTTCCAAATATAGATCTTCTCTAGTGAACTTCACCTTGTCTGCCAGAAGAAGAAAAGAAGTGAAGAAAAGATACCCATACACATAATAGTGTGATTGCTTAGAAGTTCCTGTAAGAAAGGAATCATTTGAAAGCATCTGGGATCGTTTATTAGTTTCACAGGATTCTCTTCTTCTTGTTTTCTCTTTAGAGAGAAAATATCATAAATTCAAAAGCAATTCCAGTCTGAAGCACAATTATTTGCCTGCATGACAAAAATCTCTCATCTTTTTCTGCACGTTACTATTTTTACATGGGTTAAAAAGAAAAATACTTTTTAATGTTTTAGAACTCTCTAATTGTAAAAAGTGAGAGAATTTAAAATTTTTCCTTCATATTCTTATAATTCTCTAAAACTATTAAATAACTTTTTATATGTTTGAGTGATTTTTTTAAAAAATGCTGTCTGAAATCAAATACATTAACCACCTGGCTTTGCAGAATAGGGAGAAAATAATTGGTTCATTGATTATTTATATAGAGAGACTAAGAAAGAAGCTACTAATTATTACCAATTTTATATGATAGGCTTTAATGTTTATAAAAGTATTTTTTATTTTGAATAATACCCACTTAAAGTTGTACAAGAAAGTTTGAAATACTAATTGTAGTTCATTTTATTTTATAACTTAAATGTTCGTTTCTGAATCTACTTCTCATAACATAATTATAAGAAGCCAATGTTTGATTTCCTTTGAAGTTCTGTTTTATGGCGTTGATTCATTTATACAGATAGTTTCTTAGAAAGGCCTACTGAACGTTGACATTTAAAACACAGTTATGCTAATGAAGTCTCAAGCAGGGCAATATCTCTTGTCTAACATATGAGTGCTCATCACTCTGCTAGGCTTTGTTTTGGTGCTATTTTGGTGCTGGGGTGGTGAGACATGTAAATAAAAAATCAGAAGGTACTTAGGGATATGATTACCCAAAAGGAAACTATCCTGTCTAATTCTGAATTGTATTGATAATTAGGTGTTTCCAAGTTGTTAAATATGCTCTTAATTTGTATTTATTGAAAGACTGTTAGCTCAGTGCCACAAAGGTTTTATTATATTACTGTAAGTTAATTCCAGATATAAAATTTACAAATTCGTATCCTGACTGGAAACTTTACTTTGTAAACATTATAGAGTAGGAGAAGCCATAAACCATTAACCTTTACTTTGCTAAAATAAAAGATTGGGCTTAACATATAAAGAATTTGAAATACAAATTCTGACATCATGGAGTTTGTATCCCTTTCATAGCTTATTAACGGTGTCTTTTAGGATGGAAGGTGCTTATATAAAGCACTGTAATTAAATTTACACACAAAAGATGTTTTATGAAATGTGTTACTTCATTATTTAAATTTGATATTTTGGGGAAATTCTAAATGATTTTCTGGATAAATTATAATTCCTTTACACAAGTGTATTTCAGTAGAAACATAAGCTATTGTCAATTATATTTATGTTTAAAACGTACTTGTTTACATACTTTGGACAAAAGGAAAACAATATTTTGTACAGTTCAGATACATTTCATTTAATACAAGCATATCCTTTTTTCAAGTACAGATTCTCACAGTCACAGAAGTTAAAAACTAGCCATACCACAGTAAGATAATTAAATGGTTATAGATTTCTGCTCATACAACTTCAATAATTGTTCAATAAAACATTCAGTGATTTGAGTGTCTAGTTGTCCTTTGCATAAGGAATGTTCAGAGTGTTGAACACAGCATGGAAGAAATGTTCCTGATGCTTGTCTCTATTTCCATTGTTTGTTCCTTTCAAATGAGGCATTTAAGACTGAACAGCCTTGGGGCCACCCAATGGCACAGCGGTTAAGTGCGCGTGCTCTGCTTCAGCGGCCTGGGGTTCCCAGGTTTGGATCCCGGGCATGGACCAACACACTGCTTGTCAAGCCATGCTGTGGCGGCGTCCCATATGAAGTAGAGGAAGATGGGCACAGATGTTAGCCCAGGGCCAATCTTTCTCAGCAAAAAGAGGATTGGTATCGGATCTTAGCTCAGCGCTAATCTTCCTCACCAAAAAAAAAAAAAAAGAAAAAAAAAGACTGAACAGCCTTGATATATTCCCAGCCACTGCAGATCTTTTACTTAATTTAAGATTATCAAAATCTATAAAAACTCGACAACCAGTGGCATGTATGCTGAAAGTGGCATACCTGAACAAGTCCGTGACAATGGAGCCATATTTTATTCACTGGGGAGGTGGAAGGAGAAATTAGAGGAGTGTCAAATTTGTGTACTTTAAACTTAACCTTCTCTATGATTTGGTGTTTGTTTTTTTTCTATTAAAGGTTCTTTGTAATTTCTAACATTTTCAGAACACAAAGGAAAAGAGATTTTATATAGTTTAATCAAGATGGTGACAGGGATCAGAAGTAATGGTCCACCTCAATTCGGGGCCATGGGGTGAGTTAATGAAGTGGAGCAGATGGAGAGCAGTGGACCAAAGAAGAGTTGTAAATGTTGATTCCTTCTTTCTTGGCTCAGTTCCTTCCAAACGCTGTGAAATCAGTGAGGTCTTTGGTCCCATTTCTGCACCATTTTTACTCTCCTTAACAGGGCCAGGAGTAGAATAAGAGGGCACAGAATTTAAGGCTGTGCCCAAAGCCTCAGTAATCAAGATAAGTAATATCTTAACACCTATTTTTGAAAAAAATAAAAATTAACCCATCCAAACATGCATGAACAAAATATCAAATTTTTAGATAAAGACTGCATGGGCTGAGCCATGTTAGAGCCTGAGGCAAAAGGAAAAAATGAGTAATTCAAATCCCTTGTTTTAGCATATTGGAGCCTGAGTTCCAGCCCTTTGTTTCTTCCCTTTGTTCTCACTTCCCAAAACGACCTCACTCCCTAAACTCTAGATCAATATCCCATTTTCCACTCTTGGTTTCCATCTGGCCAGAATGTTCATGGAAAGCGCATTGGATTGTAGCCCTGACTTCTTTTTACATCTAAGCTCATCCTACTATAAAATCATATGATTGGATTCCAATGAGTCTTGGCAAGAGGAAGTTAAGCTGATGATTTGAGACTCTGGCCCCTGTCAACTGCTCTGCAGAAAAGTCCTATTAGCCTCACCTGAAAGTTCGTCATCTGATTGTACACTAAGAATCCACAAGAACTACCTATAGCATCTCCTGACTCTACACTTCTAGGATTATTACAATACTGTATGTTTTGCAAGTTCTCATAATACCCGATATCAACTGTTTGTGGCACTTGCTATGTAAGTGGCCATATAACATTCCTCAAAGTTTTTAACTTGGTAATGGGCAAGAGTAAAGGATATTTTGATATGTAGCCATTTCTCAGTTTTTCTATTTTTAATGTAACATTTCCTGGGAGGATGTGTTAGCATTCAGTTTCCACCCTATTTTCTTCTCCAGTGAGTTGTAGGCAAAGCGGTTGTGTTTCATAACTCAAATAGTTATGCTTAACTAAATCTGACTTACACAGACTGAGCCATAAGTGTCATGAAATGTTCAAATACTACAAGTAAACCAAAACAAAAATATTTCCAATTCTTCAGCATTTGGTAAAATCTAACTAATATTAGCTTTGAAAAATGAAAAAGTTTTAAACTTGCAATTTGGCAAAAAACCAAGATGTTTTCTGTTAAGATACTCTTCCCTCTGATAAGACTGTGGAATATTATTCTCCATATTGTGATTTTTAGAGTTCTGTTTTTTAGAGAGTCTAAGCCTCTTTTATCATTATTATTTAGGTTTTGCTTTGTTTAATTAAAGTGCACTTGTTGGAAAGTAAGGCAGGAAAGAAGGAGGAAGGAAAGAATGCGTTCAACCTCTGAAAAGTGGTTTCCCAATAACGCTATGGGATTAAGTATTATTTTGCCCATTTTTAGAGAGGAAACAGGGACTTAGAAAGTGAGAGTAACCTAAAGTCACCCAGCTAGTAAACTGCTACAGTTGGAATACAAATCCAAGTGCCTTCCAAAATGTGCTCTTAAGCACTAGAATATAAGAGGAATTTTAATTTATTTATTAAAGCCACATATTTTATAATGGAATAAAAAAAGTAGTTTCCTGACCTGCAGCTGAAAAATTAAGATTTTCTGGTCCTTAGATTTATGCCCCCTCTTGGAGGCAGATCGGCGTAGTGATCACCACTTCAGCTGACTTAGCCAGAGACCTGTGTATCTCTCTGTATGGATGACTTATACTTAATTCAACAAAGTTGGGATTTATTCCCTCCCAACTTTCTTTCTCTCTTCCTCTTTCAAGGAAACTTGAAAATTATTCTGGTTGCTTTAACTATTTTTTAAGAGAAAAAAGTACCCACATAAATAAAATTCTTCCTTCTTTTGTTTTTCATCATATTTAAGCAGAATATTTCAAACTATTCTAAAACTAATTGTATCACAAGAGCTTGACTTTTTCTCTTCAAAAGTTATTTACAAATGGCAAAAAAATACATAGATTTTAGATTGTTTTGTTTTTTTAAAAAAAAAAGCGATATAAAACAAAACGGGACATTTACACCTGCCCCTTCTAAATGTCACTTCTGCTCTCAGAAGGAAACAGAAACAGGCATTTTTAAAGAAATTTATAGATAATGTATATGTGTTATATATATATATATATATATAACACATACACATATATATTTGAGGGTTTTTTAATACTTATATTTACCAAGCTAGACACTGTTCTAAGTGATTTAACTCATGAAAACTCATTTACTAGTCACAACTCTAAGAGGTAAGTTCTACTATTATTGCCCCCCTCTTCTTTTTTTACTAGATGAAAAAACAGGCAAAAAAGATAAACTGCCAAAGGTCACACAAAGTAGAAGAGGGCAAAGCTTGGATTTGAACTCCTGGGAGCCTGCTTCCAAAGCCAGGCCTTAACTACCACTCTTTAGCTTCTTCTATACATGCAGAAGCACATAGACATGGGTATGTGCCCATACATATACATATTGTCATGTGCCCTTGCATGCCTTTACATATGTGCATGAAGGGCAGGGGGAGGAAGAAAAACTTGCTAAACAAGATGGAACAACCAGAGACCAAGACTACAAAGCATATCAGAGAGTAGCAGGCATGAAAAATATTCCTTGGCTGAGAAACTAGATCACTGATAAACTTGGAACAGCTTCAGCTCTTATACAGGAGGAGTAAGCGTGAAAGCCAGATTGCATCTGAAGTATTCTTGTTGAGAAGAAAGTGATAATAATTCTGAAAAGCAATGGGTCCAGGGGAAGAATCCAATACATAACAATCAACTCTTTAGGTTAATTAGCATCTAGCAGGTAGGCTGG